GAGCCCCGGGGCGGGAGCTGGGCCCCCGGGCGCGCAGGAGGCCGGGACCGGAACCTCGGCAGACCCGGCCCCACCCACTCACCTGCGCAGGTAACCGGGGCCCCGGCGCGCGGGCCGAGGCGGAGGCGGAGCGGGCTCGGAGCATGTTTGGCCTTTTGTTCGGCGCTCGAGCGTGCGTCTGGGTACGTGAGCTCCTTAGCGGTCCCTCAGTCCGTCCGTGGGGCGGCCGGGTCACTGGAGTGCGCGTGGGAGGCCGGACCCGCGGGCCCCCTCCACTCCCCGGGTGCTCCGTGCTTCCCCTTCCCGCTTCCTCCCGGCCACCAGTCTCCCTCGACGTCCGCGCGGCTGACCAGGTGTGTCTCCTTCTCTGTCCCCTCCCGTCTCAGGGCGCAAGCACCCTCGGAACCCAGAGGCGCGCACTGTGAAGGCGACCCCCCCGGGGAGGCGGCGACGGCCCCCGGGAGGACGATGGCCGGCGCCCGCCCCGCCCAGGCCCGCATCTCTGCCTTTGCCGTGTGGCTCCTGTGTGCGCTCGGTCTCCAGGGCTTCCCGGGTGCCCTGTGCAAACTGGCGCCTAGGGAGGGCTTCCCCAGCCACCTGCCGCCGCCACCGCCGCCGCCGCAGTCTGGCTCCTTCCGCGAGCTGGGACCCCATGGCTTCGGAGGTAGGGAGGAGCGAACCTGCGTGGAGGGATTTGGAGAGACCTAGGCGCTGGTTACGGAGTCCTGGGGGAGGCGAGCATCAGAACCAACCAGGAGAAGAGTCCGGTTCTACTCCAAGTCCTGCTCAGAAGTAGGCGGCATAAACGCCAAAGACAGGACAGGGACCTGAGTGGGGAGGGGTGTCATCCCAGTCTCCGGCTTGGAACTCAGGGTGTTCAGAGGTGATGAGCTGGTGCTCACAGGGAGGCCCTGTGTCTGGGCTGTGTGTCCTGGAGAGAGACCCTTGACCTGGGTGGGCTGAGTCAGGGACTGAGCTGTGTGGATGCAACCTGGCCACTAAAAGTCGCCCTGGCCTGAGTACTGTGAGGCGGCCTGTCCGCCAGCCTGGTGATAAGTCTTCTTCCCTGGATAGGCTTGGGCCCTCTGGGAACAGGTTGGCCTTTGGTGGTCTAGGGGAAGCTGCCAGAACCCAGAGACCAAAAGACAAGCCCATTCTGGGACTGACCTAAAGGAAGAGAGGTCCTGTTGTGGGCACAGTAGCCTAGAGGCTTCGTTGAGGGGGAAAGCTGGCAGGGGTGAATCAGCCCGTTGGTATGCACACCTCTTAGGGAAGGGATGTCAGCTGTCCAGGCAGGTGTATTGTGTGTGTGTGTGTGTCTGTGTGTGAGACGGAGCCAGAGAGAGCGCCGGAGCTCTCTCTGCTTGCTTAGGATCTGATAGCCAAGTCTTGTTTACTTCCAGGGATGAGGCTAAGTGAAGCCTGGGGCTCCTCCTCTTTCCTCCTGGAACTGAGCAGCCAGCTGGGGTCAGGGCCTGCCCAGAGCTGTCCTTCCCATTCTCTCTACCTGCCAGGTGGGGCTCCAGGGCAGTGGAGGGTCACTACTGATAACCTCTGCTAGCGCCTTGCCGTTTACTGATGGCTGTGCCACACTCCTCGCACTCAGGCCTTTCACCAAAAAGGGCACTGTTAGCAGCATCTACCGTGTCGTATCAGGGAACAGGGTCCCATGTCAAATAACTGGCCCAGGGTAACTCTTCCCATAGATGGCGAGCCTCGATCTCACCCCAGAGCAGCACTTTCCAAAGTTCCCTGCTGTTTTTCATGGGAGACCACCTTACTGGTGGAAACCTTGCACTCTGACCCAAGACAGCCCAGCAGATAACAACAGGAGGCCGGGGAGTCCAGGGGTCCGTTGTACCTGAAGCCGAAACTAGGGATGGTCTCTATTCTGGGAAGTGGAGAGTGGCTTTCCTGTGCAGGTTTTTCCTGGGCTAGTCTCTCCCCCAAACTAAGGGCCCTCTCTTCTCCCTGTCCTTCCAGTAGCTCTCCTGGGTCTCCCAGGAGAGATGAAATGGGGATTCTGGGACGGGGGAGGCACATCCGTGGCCCAGGCTGAGCCACCGAGTCCACTGGACCAGGTCGAGAGCCTGTTCCACAAGGAAGTAGCAGGTAGTGTGGGTGGCGGTGACTCTAATTGACCTGGGCTGCTGGGGCCCTTGCTGCTCTGGTGGAGGCCCCAGTGGGAGTTCACTCCAGGGCTGAAACTGGACGTCTGAGAGAGCTGGGCTGGGCTAGAGTCACAAAATCTTGGGACCAGCCTGCCCCCTGGAAATCCCCAGGACTGGCCTGTTTGGCACAAGATGGGGTAGTGTGGGGACTTCCTGGGGACATTCATGAAGGTAGGGTGTAGGGAGCTAGACTGAGTGTGAGTTCTAGGCCCTCCCAGGCCTTTCTTAGGGTGTGTGGTGCCTTGGAAAGTAGCGAAAGCTGTGTGTCGTGTGTCAAGGAGTCCCTTCTTGACGGAGTCCATTCTCAACCGAGTCCAGCTAGAGAGGCTGGAGGGGGCCAAGGGTAGGGTAAAGCCATCGAGGGCCTCCTGGAGGCTAGGGTAGACAGGTGCCCAGGGCTTCTTCGCTTCTGTATTGGATATAGAAATCCTCCCAGGGTGGATTTGTTTGTTACCCTTTCTCTGCCTGTGGCCCAGCAAGTCCAGTCCAGATTCCAGCCAGGCTGCTGGTCCCTCCTCTGCCCTTCTCCAGCCCTGCCCCCTGTTTCCTGTGGAGGAGTGGCTTAGGAGGTGGAGTCTACCTTCCTTGGAGATGTCCCAGGCCTGGCAGCTGGAGGAGGGGCTGTTTTATTGCCACTCTAGCCCTTTGCCCTCTTGGGGGTGGGAAGAAAGGAGTGGTAGGGCAGGGCCCCTTTGGTCCTGGGGGCTGGAGCTTGGGGAGGACAGTTGTGATGGGGGTGAGACACATCACCCTGCCTGCTGCTTCCACCCTGGTGGGGTCCTGTTTGTCTGCTAAGAAATCTGTCTTCCTTCCCTTTTTCAGACAGCTGATTGATTTTGATGCAAGGAGGTGGGTGCTAGAATGGCTCCCACTAGCCCACCCCCTGCTTGGCTTTTCTCACTTGTGCGCCAAGCCCCTGGGCTGGGTTGCATCTCCACAGCCTATTCCATTCTTCGTCTCTTTTGTTTTATGAGAGATTTTTGTTGTAAGGCGGGCACGCTCACCAGAAAGACAGAGACAGAGAGACAGAAAGTGAGAAATCACCCCCTGGGGGGATTGGGGGCTGGAGCTTGGGGAGGACAGTTGTGATGGGGGTGAGACACATCACCCTGCCTGCTGCTTCCACCCTGGTGGGGTCCTGTTTGTCTGCTAAGAAATCTGTCTTCCTTCCCTTTTTCAGACAGCTGATTGATTTTGATGCAAGGAGGTGGGTGCTAGAATGGCTCCCACTAGCCCACCCCCTGCTTGGCTTTTCTCACTTGTGCGCCAAGCCCCTGGGCTGGGTTGCATCTCCACAGCCTATTCCATTCTTCGTCTCTTTTGTTTTATGAGAGATTTTTGTTGTAAGGCGGGCACGCTCACCAGAAAGACAGAGACAGAGAGACAGAAATTGAGAAATCACCCCCTGGGGGGATGCCGCAATCCTTTCTCCTCCATTCTCCTCTTGGGATCTTGGGCACACACACACGTGCCTGGCATGTTTAAGCCACCGGGTTTGGGACTCGAACCATAGTCGACTACATGGGAGTTCAGCGGCATAGCCATTACGCGAACTGCTGGTCCCCTATTCTTCTTCTCTTTGTCTTATTTCCCCTAAATCCCTGGAGCTCAGTCTTCCTTCCGTCATGTTTTAGGTCTCTACACTATTTAGCTTGTTTCTCTGTGAAACCTCTCCTCTGTCCCTGTGTGTCCCAGTCTGACCAGTGACCACCTTCTGTGAGTCCCCCACCCCCCAAGGCAACCCTTTCTCTGCATCATCAGAGGCACCCGGCTGACTCCTCCTCCTACCACCTCTTCTGATCTACCTTCCCTTCCTCCTTCACACTTGAAATTACCGTCTGTACAGCCCTGTACAGAACTGCTAATGCAGGTAACCCTTGATGCCTTTCCACTTCTAGGACTTAGTCTTAAGGCCACACTCACGCACATGCAAAACAACACATGCAAAACAAATGAACAGCCGGTAGGTAGCATCGTTTATAATAGTTCATTAAAAAAAACCTCAACACATGCTCTAGGTGAATACTGATGCTGTTTTAATAATATAATAGGGGGCAGCAGGTGGCACAGAGGTTAAGGCAGCCAGATCCCACATGGCTGACCACATGGTTAGGGTCCCGACCTGGGGGCTGGTGTGTGTAAGCGTGCTCATAATCCAGGGGGGAGAATGAAGAAATTGCTGTGTGGCCATCCCCTTGAAGGGGTGATTTCTCATTTTTCCTCTCTTTCTCTGTCTCTCTCCAGTGAGCGCATACATTTTATAACAAACTAAAACATAATACTAATAGAGAACCCTGAGGCAGTATGGTTTACATTTTAATGAAAAGAGAGAAAATATCAATCTAAATCAGTGGGGGACTGGTGGACACTTGTTAAAGCATAAATTATGGTATATTCAGGGACTAGCAGATAGCGTAATGTTTATGTTGCTAGACTCCCATGTAGTCGACCACAATTCAGGTCTCGGACTGGCAGCTTGAACTCACACTGGGTCCGTGTGCTTGTGTGCCCAAAATTTCAAGAGGAGAATGGAAGAGAAGGGATTGTGGCATGGCCATCCCCTCTGGGGCCTGATTTTTTACTTCTGTCTCTGTCTCTGTCTCTGTCTCTCCAGCAGGTACACGCACCCTATAGCAAAAATCTTTCTAAAAAAAAACATTAAGGTGCATGCATGTAATGAATACTACACACCTAAAAAATAATATTCTCTGTTGCTACACTATAGAATGATTTTCAATATATATTAAGGGAAAAACAAAATAAAGAACTTGCATGCTTATGAATTCCAATGTTGTCTCACTATTCTCACTCACATACACAGCTGATAACAAAGGATTTCTTTGGGGATAAGGAACCGAAGGGATTATGGAGAAGAGGGGACTTAATTTTCTCTAGCTTTTTTACCTTTTGGGATTTATATCATGTGCATGTATTACCTAACCTAAAAAAAACTAAAACAAGGGGCCAACAAGTAGCATAGTGGTTAAGGTGCTAGACTTCCATGTGACTGCGGTTCAAATCTCAGACCTGGTGGCTTGAAAATCACACTGGGTGTGTGTGTGTGTGTGCGCGTGTGTGTGTGTGCCCAAAAAATCCTGGGAGGAGAATGGAGGAGAAGGGAATGCGGTGTGGCCATTACCCTTGGAGGGTGATTTCTCACTTTCTCTCTCACTGTCTCTCCTGTAAGTGTATGTACCCTATGGCTAAAACCTTAAAACAAAACCCTAAAATTATTAAAGTAATCAACATCACACCTCTGGGGCCAGCAAGTGGCATAATGGTTGAGGTGCTGGATTCCTACATGGCCAACTGTGGTTCAAGTCCTAGACCTGGCAGCTTGCTTTTCTCACTTTCTCTCTCACTCTGTCTCGCTATGGTTCAATTAAAAAATAAAAATAATAAATAAAATAATTATTTAAAAGAAAACAAAGTTATACCTCTGAGTAGGCAGGTGATCTGCAGCATGATGTTTCAGAGACAGCAAGAACTAGAG